CATATATATATATATATATATATATATATAAAAGGATATATAGAAGGAGCATAAAGAGAAGAAGTATGGTAGGATGGATGGAAGGAGGATGAATTTTCCTTTCGGTTAGAGGAGAACTTGGCTTAGCCAAAGGCTTTGACGTTGACGTTATCGCAAGAAACCAAGAGAGGGCATATAAGAAAGGGCTCAAGAAAATAAGGGAAAGAGGTGACTTTCGTGACTCGCCCGTATCGTATGTCGACATCTCGAGCGACCCTAAAAGATCGCGTGTGCCGGTTTATACTCGTATTTATCGATCGACATTCATAAGCTTGAGAAATAGAAAGAGAAAGAGAGACAGATAGAGATAGATAGATAGATAGAGAGAGTGTATGTGTGTGTTTGTGTGTGTGTATGTATGTATATTTAGGCTCGTGTCTAACCGTGATTTTCCTACAACTTTCATATCATTTGTCGCGTTCACCACCAACCACCAAACAGCAAACACCAACAACCGATCGAACCGGATCATAGTTCGTTAGTGAAGTAATCTTTACGTAACTTAAAAGTCTTCCGATCGAATATCGAATAATCAAAATTTTCGAACTCGTCCATAAAACGCGTCTTAACTCATATTTTCGAAATATATTTAATTCTTTCTCTTTTTTTATTTCCCATTCAACGTCCATCTCTCTTTCCTGCCTATCGCCCCTTCCTATACCAATTTCTTTCGACCTTTCAATTTTTCTATTGTATCATGCGTATATATATATATATATATATATATATTTTTTTTTTTCCCCTTTTTGTTATTCGTTATGTCTTTATATCTAATTCATAATTTTAATTAATGGAATTAATTCGAAAGATAATGAGAATTAATCGGGGATAGATTTAAATATTATAGTTATACATAGATATAATACATTGATATTATTATTCTTTGCTAAATATATTAATGATAATGATAATATATACATATATATATATATATATATATATATATATATATATATATATAATTTATTATTGAGAGCGAATAAAACGAGAACGATTGGAAGAAAAGATTTATTTTTTTCTTCGCTTCGAAGGAAAAAAAAAAGAAAGAAAGGGTAAATAAAAAAGGGGGAGAAAGTAATAGAGAACGGTAAAAAATAGATAAAGGAATGATTGTATAATAAAATTGGCCTTGGCCCTGAGAATCAAGGTTAAATCTTTCTGTTTCTCATCGCTTTAAATAATCATCTCTCCATTTAATACAATAGAAACCGTGAGAGAGGCAAAGAGAGAGAGAAAGAGAGAAAGAGAGAGAGAGAGGGAGAGAGGGAGAGAGGGAGAGAGAAAAAAAGAGAGAGAGATAGAAAAGTATGACTCACAATGAATACGTTCCTTACGTCGATCGACTTAACTACGTAGTATATTACAATTTTTCAGTAACGACGCATCTACATAGTTCATACTATAGTCATATACAATGTATATATATAAAATTAAGTTTTAAAATAGTACATTTGTGGCGTAAGCTTTTCCATTTGCCAAAGCGTAGATAGTTGAGAATTGATTTTTGTTTCGATTTGATTTGATTTTTAGGTTTTTTTTTTTTTCTTTTTTTGTTTGATCGAACGATCGATATATAGATCATTGAGAGTCAAGTGTAGACAATCGACGTTTTACGATTCAAATCGAATATTCTTTTCTTTTCTTTTCTTTTCTTTTCTTTTTTTTTTTCACTTTTTTCCTTGTCTTTTTTTTCTTTTTTTTCCTGCTTTGCTTTTTCGTCGTTGCCGTTATCGTCGTTGTTTTATTTTTTTATTTTCTTGCTAATTCTCTTAATAACAGAATTGTTTAAATTTAATGTTACCCTAAATTCGATGTTTGTATTTGTTAAGCTTAAGTAGTCGAGGATGGATTTTATTTATACTTTTTTTTCTTTATCCTCTCTTTTTTTTTGTCTCTCTCTCTCTCTCTCTCTCTCTCTCTCTCTCTCTCTCTCTCTCTCTCTCTCTCTCTCTCTCTCTCTCCTTCTCTTTTATCTTCGACGATGAAAATAAACGAAAGATATGCTCTTCTGCATTATTTTTTTTTTTCCTTTTTACGCGAGATTTTTTTTATGCATCATCAATAATTAAATACGATAAGTTGTTACTCTGTCTGATGATACGTCTACGTTAACGTGTGTCAATATTTTTCGTTCTCTGATGTGTAATAGTTCGAAGAATGTCTTATTCATGCTCTACGCGTCAACACTCGAATCCTGGATTTTTTTTTTCTTTTCTTTTTTTCTTTTTTTTTTTGTTTTGTTTTCTTTATACATATATATCAGAATAAATTAAATATGAAATCCTTTGTTTGCACCGATCATAGTCTACATTAAAACGTGATATTTTTGATTCGTAAAATCATAGGGGGTGGCTGATGAATCGTCAATTTGCATTTTGATTTCGACGATGTTTTTATGATATATGATATATCTATGTATGTCGTGTGACACTCGACATGTATGTATGTATGTACGTAAAAAATGTATTTTAACTTTTATTAGAACTATCAAAGATGATATAATTCATATATATATATATATATATGAATTTGGTCAATGAGCATGATTATTCATATTTCTCGATGATTTAAATTCGATATCGAGAATATTTTGGTCTCGATGATACATCATAATTTGTCGAGTGACACTCGAAAGAGTCCAATCGGTCTTGAGATTTTTTATTCTTTACTTTTCTTTTCTTTTCTTTTCTTTTCTTTTATTTATTTATTTATTTTTGTTTTGTTTTGTAAGAACGATTAAGATACTCCTTGTGGCTATGATTAAAAAACTCACCGTCAGGTACGAAAATGTTTAGAAAGAGACAATCCTCGCTCATACCCGGATCAGGCTGGTCACGTGGTAGTAATCGTGCA